AGTAAGTTATCATAAAAATTCTCTTCTGGTTTGGATAGTCTTATGTTGACAAAATTCATTACTATCATGTGGTTAGTTGAGAGGAATAAGAGGGGAACCAGGGAAAAAGATGAGGGGGAAGATGAGGGCAAAAGAGGGAGCTAATAGTCAATGAGGACCTACTGTAGGCTGGAATTTTGTATACAAAATGTCACTGAATCATCTTAAGAACTTTAAGAAGTGGGTAGCACAATATCCATTACAATGAGGAAACTGAGTCTCTAAGGAAGTGATTTTCAACAGATGTGCCACAAGAATTTTTAAAACATGCAATACTTGACTATCTAGTCAGAGACACTGACCTCCTTTCCCTTAGACAGTCAAATAGAAAAATGACAACAGTCAACACAACAATAGCTGTCCATCTGGTGTGAATGAATTATTTTATACCATTTTTTTTTTTTGGTCAGATTGGCCTAATACATATTTTTTGGTGTGTCACAGAATTTTAGTAATTAGTTTGTGTGTACAATGAGAGTAAAAAGGTTGAAAATCACTGCTCTAAGGGATTAAGTAATTAGGATGACAAGTCTAATAAAGCAGCAAAACAAGGATTCAAACTTGGAACTGTTCTACTTCATAACCTTTTTCATTGTTTTGATTCTCTGATTCTACAGAGGAGAGGATGTAGTGGGGAGGAGGAGATATATGGAGAAAAAGAGAAAGTGCTTGAGAAGAATAAAAGACAAAGAGAGAACGAGACATTCAACAGAGAGATAAAAAGATGAGTAGTAGGAAAGGGGCAGAGAAGGATTTGAGAGAGAGAGCAAAATAGAGAAAGGTGCATATAAGGAGCTGCTAGAAGAGATGAGAGAAAAGATCAATTGGGGGGCTACCTCTGAACATAGGCTTTAAGAAAATAAACATTTTTACATATACTTTGGAATATCTATTAGTAGAATAATTATTCTTGACAAATGAAAGCACTATAACCTTGCCTAAAACATTTTGAGCACTGTTGACATTTTGAGCCAGATAATGCTTTGTTGAAGGGAATGTTGTGTGCAGTATAGGATGTTTAGCAGTATCTCTAAACTCTTCCTATTAGAGCCAGTTGGCACCTCACCAGTCTTAAAAATCATAAATGTCTTCAGATACTGGCAAGTATTGCCTGTGAGCAAAACTGCCTTTAGTTAAGAACCACTGATTTAGAGTTTACACCCTGAATAATGATTTAAAAAATTAACAAAAAATGCCTACCATATGTAAAACGATTCCCCAAATTACTCTAGTGAATGGACATCCTTGGGAAAAACATGAGCTTAAGTTTTAGGGCTGAATTCACCTAAACTCATAGCACTCATTCCAGGATTGCTTGCAAATTGCATTTAAAAGGAAGTGAGTATAAAAGAATACCTAGTTTTGAATTGTATGATCTAAGACTACCTATACAATCTAAAGTTCTCTATTTGTAATCTTAGGTTGTGTAATTATCTAAGGATGTAATTCTTTAGGATGTTTCAAGAGGCTTTGAAGAGTTTGACTCACTGACCTAGTTCTTCCACTTCTAGGAATCTATTTCAAGGTAGAACTGTGAAGATTTACAAAGATTTTCATTACAGCATTGTTTACAAAAGGAAATTAGAAGCAACATGAATGTGCAGTATTGGAGGAGTGGACTATTAGGCGGCCCTACAAATAATTTTTCAAAAGAATTTTTGATAACATGAGAAAATGACAAAACATGAAAAGCAGATAAAACAAGATATCAATTCAAATACTACATTAAATCATGTTAAAAATATATCTGTGTGTATATATACGCATATGCACATATAGGAAGATATACTAATGTAGTAATACCAAATTTCTGAAATTTTGTAATGAAATATTCCTCAGTGTGGGATATCAAATGCTTTTGTTTTCTTTTTTAGACCTTTTATATTTCTATATTTTCTAAAGTATACATTACTTTTATAATCATAAAGAAAGACCTTAAAGCTAAAGATAATCATTCCAAAGTCAATCTAAGGATAATGGGACCTCTTTACACTCCATGTAAGCACAGCTGTCTGAGGTTATACAGATTGTGGAGTGCTGCATCTAAGAGGATGCCATTCACAATACAGACGTATAATAAACGAACTAGAGATGTTTAACCTTCCAGCTATGCAGCAGGGCAGAGACTCTCATACATAAAGTTACATGGCCTTCACAGTTAGAAACGCACTTCGATATCTCTCATGTACACAATTACTGACACACACATAAGATAACTGTGCCCTATCCATTCAGTTTCTTGGGCATTTGCCTCTTTCCCTTGCTTATCTCTCTGAGAGGTCTGACTTGTACTTCAAATTTGACATAGTTCCTTCATGTAGAGGACTTGGTCCACTTTTTAGAGCCCTCCTTTTCTAGGATACTTAATTTTAACCAGGCCTCCTTTGTCAATCACGCTACCTGGAAAGACTCAGGCCAAAAGGACAGAGAAACCTTAGTTTTCTCTCAGACAGAGTGGCATCTAAAGACAAGTTATAAAAAATGAGGCTGAAAATACCTGTTATTAAAACACCTATATTAATACCAGCATTTCAGTATTACATGAAGTAAACACCAAAATCCAGATACATTTTGACCTAGTATAATAATAATGAGCCAAAGAAAGACTTTGTATAGTCAAGTCTGATGCTAGAGCCTTCCAGTTTGAGGGAAGGGCGTGAGCTTTTCAAAAAGAAGAGGAAAGAAAAATCAGCAAAGGAAAAAATGTATGTAGGGGAGCATTTAGCCAGGGGGAGAAACCCACTTCATCAAATTATCAGGTAAGAGCACAACCCTGTGAAGGAAGTAGACATAGAAAGGGATTTAATACAGAAAATTGGGGGTTGCCAAAAATCACTGAAAGAGCTGGAGGGACAAAAGCCAGGTGCCTTCTGGAGCTATTGTGGTAAAGAGGACACCGTCAGCCCTGATCCAGATATAAAGGAGCCGCCACCACCGCTGCAGCCAGTCCTCTCCCAACGTCCAGGCGGCTACGGAGACTCTGGAACACCAAGTGATCCTGCTAAGCAGGAAGGACAGCAGGAAAACTGCCTCTGCCTCATTTTCAGCTAATTAAATGTGGTCTGTTTTTGTTTATATCATTGTTTCTATGGAAAAGCTCACTTGAAGTTCTAAATAAATAGTACAAACCAAGTTTTCAAAAATACTGTAATTTTGAGTCCATGTGTCCTTAAAATGAAAAAAACAAAAACAAAAACACATGCATCGGCTTCCTAGAGAAAAACTAAATAAAACAACTCCCCAGGATATGTTTTTATAGTTGTGAACTTCATTTGTCTCTGATCTTTATATCTGTTGTTACCTCTACCACCTGTACAAGGTGGTGCATACAAAATTTTAAGTTTCATTTGCAGGTGATAAAGCTGGAAAACAAGCCTTTGTAATATTACCAAGAAATGATTTATAACAAAAGCTTCCTTCTTACACCAATGGATTGGGTTGTACCAATTTTTTATTTTTGGTTTCTCGATAAGAAATTCTTTTTTGGTGCTGATGTAGGAGGAAATGCATATCCCAGGTGTTATTTTCAATTATTGTGTATGTAGGCTTAAAGGACATAAATAAATCTTGTGATAAAAATAAAATAATATTTGCAAAGAAGTACAGGAAAATGAATCCCCATGACATGCAATGAAAGAAGCAGGTATACGAAGTGATAAACGTTTTCTAAAATATATGTTCATTTTTTTTCTTTGTACCATAAGCAGTTTTGGTAAGAGCAGAGCAACTGATGATGTGAAGCCCACAAAAGCGTAAATGAAGTATATTTTACATGTTCCCTTAAAACCATTTGAAAATTTACTTTGGGAACCTCAGCTCAAATGCACCATACATCCTTACCTGGCTCACCCCTCAACTCCTGCCTTCACCGAGTGAGTTCCGATAGCCTTCTTCTTCACTTTTCCAGCTGAACAACTAAAATACGAGGTAACTAAGCCCTTTAGCTACTGAGTTAGGGTCCGATTTATGAAGAAAACCACCAGGAAGAGAATCAGGAAGATCTAGCTAGCAATGATTTGCATCAGTCACCATCTCTCATATTGTCATAAAGATTAAAAATTACACTTTCGCATGGTGAGCAAGCCTAAAGCTAAGGCATATTTTGTGTGTGCTACGCACTGTTATTTCTGTTTCTTAAGTAAAATGTTGATATTCTAGAACTTATACTTAATCTCTTAGTGCATTTAGTGCTGATATTGGAGTTTGTGAAATGTAACAAAAAAGACAGATGGAGACGAATGATGGCAGAAGACAGGTGTCAACTGATTGTCCCAACAGTATAGGTTGTAGTAAAGGCAAATAATCATGTGAATTCCTGCTCCTTAATGTGATTCTGGCGGTTGGCTTATCTTGGGTACTTTTGAATGCCTAATTCTATTTTCTAGTGAAAATTCATTCCACATGTAATTCAGTTTCTTTTATGAAATTTCTTGCCTAATTTTGAACATAACTATGTGTTACAATGCCTTTGATACAGACTGAAAGCAATTTTCTTTAATTTTTTTTTTTTTTTTTTTTACTCTTAAAACGAAGTTTAGCCGTCTTGTTCATGTGAAGAACTTGCTTCGGGAGAGCCCCTGCCAAGATGTTTATTATAACACTCATTCCTACACACGCCTGAGACACTGGCTTGGTATCTAGAGAAATCCACCCACACCTTACAGCGACACTAGGTGTGCATTCTGAAATGCCAGGATGGACGGAAGGAAGGGAGTAGCTGCCCCTTAAAACGCAGCGCACAGGGACGGACTTGGAAGTTGAAAAAGAAGTGTTTAGTGGAACGCTTCGAGGTAAGTGACGACCGATCACGGACCCTGCCAGACACAAGGCCCCGCGACAGGCCAGAGCGCGGCCGTCCAACCGCTCTTCCGGGCGGATGCCGTCCTGCCCGCACGCCAGGCCACGCCCTCCGCCGCCGGAGGCACTCAGAAACCCGCCGAGCTGCATCGCCCCAACCTCACCTGCTCGAGCTTCTCTGGCGGCCGCCGCCGCCCGCACTGCCGCGGGCTCGCCCCGGGCTCCCACTCGGTCCCCACCGCCGCCTGCTCGGCCAGCGCCTCTCCGTCCTCGTTGCGTGCCCCGCCGTCGCCAAAGCTCTTGTCGCTGCCACCCCCGCCTCCATGGAGCTCCCGGGCCGAGCACATCCCAGCACCGGCGACCCGTTCCCGATCTGCCGCGCTCGTGGCTGACAGAAGTCTCCCCCAAGCGGCCGCCGATCGAGAAGACTAGAGTGGCGGCTCCGCCCCGCCCCTGGCCGCCGGGGCGGAGCCACGGGGGAGGGGCCACGTCGGGGGCGGGGCCGACGGGGATTGTACGAGGAGGTGCGGGGGGGGGGGCGGGGAGAGAGGGAGAGGGAGAGGGAGATTTCACGCGTTTGTGACAGCTACTGTGTACCTTAATAGACTGTGAGAGTGTGTATGATGAGAGAGGTTGCAAGTACATAAAGAAGTGTGAAGTGTGAGAGATTGTGTACAATAGATTGTACGTGTAAGAGACTGTGTGAGAGATCACGTGTGTATGAGCGTGTGTGTGTGTGTGTGTGTGTGAGAGAGAGAGAGAGACACGCACTTACAGTTGAGTCCTCTCTTCTTGCCTGACACTGGGTACCTGGGGATGTGTTACCGGTTGCCAGTCCCAAGAAGCTGTCTATCCTTTCCAAGTAATACAAGTTCCTCTTTTTTGTTCTTTTTGTCTCCTTTCTAGTATCTTTCTGAAGGTCTGTCGTCTTTCTTTTGAGTGCTTCGTGTGTGTGTGTGTGTGTGTGTGTGTGTGTGTGTGTGTGTGTGTTGTTGGAGGCTTGGAAGCATGTGGTGGTGGTGTAGCTGTCTGCCTTTATGTGATGGGCACACGACTAATTTATAATTCCTTTTCTTACTACCTATGATATTGTGATTTATAATAAATACATAGATATTTGGTTTTCGTCCCCATTTCTGGCACAGAGCTCCCAAATCCTTGGAATTTCTTAAGAAAGAGTGATAAAGGTGCCTTTCGTTATATTAATGAAGTGACTTTAGAAAAGCCCCTGGGCACCTTAAGGATGGGAGGACAAACCAAGAGATTACAGGGCTGGAACTTTCAGTTGCACCCTCCGACCTCTGGGGAGTGGGAGAGAGAGGCTGGGGTGGAGTGGATCACCAAAAGGCAGTAATTCAATCAATCACGCCTGTGTAATGAAGCCTCCATAGACAGCCTGAAGGACTGGGGTTTGGAGAACTCACGGGTTGGTTGCCACACGGAAATGTCAGGAGAGTGGCACTCCCAGACAGAGCCAGGAAACTCTGTGCCCCTTCCCACATACCTTGCCCTCTGTACCTCTTCATATGGCTGTTCATCTGTATTCTTTATCATACCCTTTATAATAAACCGGTAAAAGTAAGTATGTAAATGTTTCTCTGAGTTTTTTCCTGGTCCCAGAGTCGCTGTGCCTGATGCTCAAACGGCCAAAACACAAAACATCAGAGTTTGGAGTAAGGAAAGGTTTATTGATAGAGAAGAAGATGAAGGCCTTAATTCCTCAAATCCATCATAAGAAAGTACAGAGTTCAGGCGTTTTATATCAAGGGAAGAAAAAATGGGAGGGGCAGTAGGTGATTGATGACTGAAGACATCTGGGCACCAGCAGGGGTTCTAGGAAGACTGAGGAATCTCTAAATCTCTTTGTTCCTAGTCAGCTGACCCTGGCTGTTGAGGCTCCTGCAAATCTTTGATAAGCTGTCATTATTTTTGTACAAATTTTACCAACCACCTTTTTGCAAGGGGCTGTTCTTTTTTATCTTATTATTATTTTTTCATCCTCACCCGCGGGTATGCTTTTACTGAGTTTAGAAAGAGAAGGGAGAAAGAGAGAGGGAGGGACGGAGAGAAAGAGAGAAAGAAACATTAATGTGAAGATACATCAATTGATTCCTTCCTGTACATACCCCATCTGGGGATGGAACCCGCAACTATGTGTCCTGGCTGGAAACAGAAACCACAAGCTTTTGGTGTACGGGATGATGCTCCAACTGAGTCACCCAGCCAGTTCTTTTTAAAACTCAAGCTGCAACCAGAATTCCTCTCATGATTAGCAAGTCTATAGCACGACCTAGTAGCCTGAAGGGCGTGGGAACAATGCAAGCTGGAATAAGATGGAGTCAGAGACTGAGCATTTCACTGTTACAAGTTGTGTGAGCCACTCTAGTGTCGTGAGCACAAGTTTGCAATATAGTCTTTCCTGTCAGTCAATCTTCGTTCCCTGCTTGGATTGTCTGATCTGGGTCTTAAGTACCAAAAGCACTGAGCCATCTGTACCACCAGTCCTACAGAGACACTGGCACCAAGATATAACAGGAAGCCAACACAGGTGATGGTGCTGTTCACTCAGACTTTACTAATGCAGGTTCACTCAGCTTTTATCAATGCAGATTTAATCCAAACCTATACTAACCTAAAGAAAATACTAATCATTCAGAAACAATCAGTAATAACATCACATGAGAGAATTGGGGGATAATGAACTACAGTCTCAGTGTCTCAGTCTGCGGGCCCAGGAGATAGTACAGTGAGCAAGAGAGTTGTCACCCTCTTGCAAGGAAGGATCTCTGGAGCCAGGTGGGCAGCAGGGCAGAGCCTCTGGTGGCTGATGCTAAAGGAGATCAGCGTGGCATGGTGTGTGGAGCTCAGCTGTCTCAGCAGTGGACTGGATCCTGCCTCAGGAATACCTTGAAAGTGGTGTACTCCTCCCTTCTGGGTCTCTTGATAAGTGTCTTGGCACTGCTGATGGCAAGTGGGGCTTTCTCAGAATCCTATTGATGGGTGGTACATGGCTGCTCTGCTTAGCACCCCTGATGACAAGTGGGACATTTCCCCAGGAGCCTATCTATGGGTGGTCCCACTCTGCAGACATATCTGTTCTGATTACTTGTGCAGATATCTTACGTGTGTCTCCTTACCAGAAGTGTCTAGCGTTACTTAGGTAGTTTCCCTCTTGAACCAAAGTGTCATGGCTGACTGGAAGTCATCTTGGTTGACATGAAAGACTCCACTATGTCTTACTTCATGCTATCTTGACCAGAACAATGTCATTTTATTGGTCCTGCTTGCCACATCTAGCAAATTAATTGAACCTGAGGAATGTATGTGGAAACCTTCAATTTACAGCCAGCTTGTTCAGAAGCATAGGTAACAGCCTCGACTTGTGATTAGCATCTAAAGTTGGGTATATGGGGGGAATCTTATAGGACTGAGCCCTTAACATGTGACATCTGTGATCTATCTTTAGGTGGATAGCATCAGAATCAAGTTAATTGCTTGGTGGTGTTGGAATACATACATCAAACTATAATACCCATTTTGATAAAGGGAAGTTGAGGGACATTTAAATAAAATATCAGATTTTGTATATATATTTGTATTTTGAGAAAATAATGTACTATTGTATAGATAAACAAGGCTACTTTATAATGGAAAATAAGTATGCCTAGGTATGAAGAACAGTAAGAGTTACTTGGGATCTTGTTGAGGCCCAGACAAGGAATTTTTTTTTCTTTTTTTTTAGAGATAATGAGTTTTTGTTTTTTTTTAATTTCAGAGGGAGAAGAAGTGGGAGGGGGTGGACACACACACACACACACACACACACACACACATCAATCAGTTGCCTCCTGCATACCCTGCATACCCTGAGGTTGAACCTGCAACCTACGCATGTGCCCTGACTGGGAATTGAACCTGTGATTTTTCAGTTTACAGGATGATGATCCAAACAACTGAGCAACACTAGCTGGGGCCAGAGAGGGAATTAAAGTAGGCAGGAACTTAAAGATTTATTTTAAAGACCTGTTTCTTGTTTTTGGTAATCAAGACTGTAAAAACTAGAAAATTTGCCTTTGGATATCACAAATTAGAGACAACATGAATCTGGCTTATTTCCTTAAAAGTCTTTAAAAATGTAGACAGAAATATTTAATATTGCAGTTGATTCTTGAACAGTATGGGTTTGAAGTGCACGGGTCCACTTGTATGCAGATTTTTAATAATAAATACACAGTCAGCCCTTCATATACCTGGGTTTTATATCCCAGGATTCAACTAACCCTGGACTGCAAACACTATTTTTGATCCATGGTTGGAAATCAGCATATGCAGAGGATCAACTTAAGTTATAAATGGATTTTCAACTTTGCAGGTGGTTGGTGTCCCCTAGATCCCCCATGTTGTTCAAGGGTCAGCGGTGTACATATAAACAGAAACAGATGTGACCATGGGAACCACAAAACTCCCTGATGAGCCTCATTGCTTTCCTCTAAGGACAGCATTTTTATTCTTGAAATTTTGCTTTGGTTCTTAGTATTCTTTCTCATAAAAAGTAGCCTTATATATTTTTAAAAATAAAACTTTAAGATTCTATATAGTGGCACAGAGAACATCAGCCCTTTACCGCCAGCTCTAGAACTTAAGGCACATTAAATTTTTAATTTTCAATTACTGTTTACTCTCAATATTATTTTGTATTGGTTTCAGGTGTACAGTATAGTGGTTAGACAATCACATACTTTACAAAGTGTTCTTGATATTTCTAGTACCTACCTGGCACCATACATAGTTATTGCAATATTCCCTATGCTAGTACTTTATTTACATCCCCCTGACTATTTTGTAACTACCAATTTGTCCTTACTCTCTTCACCTCTTTCACCTAATCTCCCAACCCCCCTACGTTCAAACCACCAGTTTGCTCTCTGTGTCTATGAGTCTATTTCAATTTTGCTTGTTTGTTTATTCTGTTCTTTAGATTCCACATATAAGTGCAAGCATATGGTATTGTCTTTCTCTGACTGATTTATTCCACTGAGCATAATACCCTCTAAATCTATCCATGTTGTTGCAAATCGTGAAATTTTATTATTTTTACAAGAGAGTAATAGTCCATTGCAAATGTACCACCTCTTTTTTATCCACTTGTCTATGGATGGGACCTCGGGTTGCTTCCATGCCTTGACTACTGTAAATAATGTTGCAATGAACATAGGGGTGCACATATTCTTTTGAACTACTGTTTGGGGTTTCTTCAGATAAATACCCAGAAGTGGAATTGCTGCTTTACAATGGAAAATAAGTATGCCTAAGTATGAAGAACAGTAAGAGTTACTTGGGATCTTGT